TTATCACATACTGTGTGATGTGACTGATATCACATACTGTGTAATGTGGGTGTTATCACATACTGTGTAATGTGGGTGTTATCACATACTGTGTGATGTGACTGATATCACATACTGTGTGATGTGGGTGATATCACATACTGTGTAATGTGGGTGTTATCACATACTGTGTGATGTGACTGATATCACATACTGTGTAATGTGGGTGTTATCACATACTGTGTAATGTGGGTGTTATCACATACTGTGTGATGTGACTGATATCACATACTGTGTAATGTGGGTGATATCACATACTGTGTAATGTGGGTGATATCAGATACTGTGTAATGTGGGTGATATCAGATACTGTGTGATGTGGGTGATATCACATACTGTGGAATGTGGGTGATATCACATACTGTGTAATGTGGGTGATATCACATACTGTGTAATGTGGGTGATGTCATATACTGTGTGATGTGAGTGATATGACATATTGTGTGATATATACTGTGTGATGTGAGTGATGTCACATATATGTAATGAGGGCAATATCAATGAATAACCATGTATATTTATGTACTACAATCTACAACAAATTAACAAACAGTATAAGAAAAAATAAACATAAGATAAAATGTTGACATGCTATATGCAATGGTTAGCAGTGTCTGATGATAAAAATAGTTGTGCATTTTTCTTATGATAATTCTTCAATCTTCTCATCAATTTCCCCAATACTCTCCTTCAACTTGTCCCATTGTTCCTTATTTAGACTAATGCCTGAAAACAAGAATTAAGGTATAGTTTAAGAATATATGACATCACAGTTTAGTTGTTGAAAGGAACCCAAGTTGAAAATAACAATTTCTGTCACTGATATTGTAAGCATTATTTCTGATAGACAACCATAAATACATACATACATGTACCAATGTTATCTGCAAAAGCAATGTCACAAATACTGTATAAAATACTTTATTTTCGCTTGAAATTAATTTTCACTATTTTCGCTGAAGGAATGATTCAGTGAAAATAAAATCTACTGAATATACTTTTTTCCCTATATTTTACATTCAACTCCTCAAAAATCAGTGAAAATAAAATCCACACAAAACATCCAAAAAGTTTTTTCAACAAGAATTAATTCCAGCTAAAATAAAGTTTTTCACAGTATAATGTTTCCATCTTTGTTCTACACAAACAACAAAGTATAACAAACATTGAGGTAACCCACATTTTATCTTGGATTGGGATGAACAGTAATTTAAAATTTTTGATTATTGATTCATGGATTATACTAACACTTGTAAATGACATACTGTAAAATACCTTATTTTAGGTGGAATTAATTTTCGCTGAAAAGACATTTTGGCTGTTTTGTATGGCATTTTGATGAGTTAAATGTAAAACATAGGAGAACGAGCCATGCATGGCACAGTCCCAGTTAGTTATCAAATTCAAGATATATAGTTTTGTTTATAGTAATACATGTATAGCTATAATATAACCATGCCAGAAATATGATTATGATGATTGTTTAACATTAAAATGACTGACATTTGTATCTGATTTTCAACCGAGTACTTGTCCATATTGAGAGATAAAAAATAAAATGACGTGCATGGAACCTATAATGTCTAATGTATGTACCAAGTTTGAATGAAATCCATCCATAAATGCCAGAAATGCTTGATATTTGATTATTTTTTTAGCACAAAAATGGCCATCATTTGGCCATTTAGAATAGGATCGTCAAACCAATATATCTGTATATCTATGACATGATGTATAATGAATATTTAAAATTTGAACATAATCAGTCAAAGCAAGTCAGAGATACGGCACTATATATGGCTGCCTGTCGGCCATTTTGAATTTTATCTGAAAAACAAAATGAATTGCATCAAGGTCCCATAATGTCTAATGTATATACCAATTTTGAACAAATTCCATCTGTGAACAGCCGAGAAATGCTCGATTTTGATGATTTTTCGGTACAAAAATGGCCGCCATTCGGCCATCTTAAATCAGATCGTGAAACATATTGATGTGCATATATATGTATAATGTTGTGTATGATGTATGTGTGAAGTTTGATTGTGATTGGTCCAGGCATGTCTAAGATACAGGACACACAGATGCACGGACTGTGTCCGAACGGGGACTAAAAAGTATTTTCACTGATCCATCCCTTTAGCACAAATTAGCAAAAATAAATTCCTAGTGAAAAGTTCTTTACAGTATATAATATTGCCAATATCTTACCTTTCCTTCCAGGTTTGAGTTCTCCACTGTTATCATTGTAGTATTCTCTGATATCTATTAGTACTTTGCCTTTAAAATCACGTACAGTTACATACCTCATCTTAGCAAGCTGAAAATGAAATGTTGACATTCGTTTGTGTTACGTTTGAGTTTATTTTATGTATTTATTATTTGTGTAATTTGTAGTTGGGGTTTTATTGAAACGTCATATTGTCCTTGGTCGCTTTATGTTGTGTTCTTTTGTCAATTTATCCCTATTTTGCATAATTATTTGTACTGAGTTAGGGAGTCTGCTTTGGCTATAAAAGCCTTTTGTTTTACGTTGACGAGAGGACGGCAATTAGACGGTAAACTGATAGCAAGGAGACTCCAAATAGACGGTCAACTGATAGCACTATAATTTTTACCAGTATCACTGACTCGTTTATCAGTTTATTAGAAAATGGGGTTTGTTCTTGAACATTGTTAGCTGTCCGGTCTGGTTTGTGTTTTCGTTCCGGCGACGTGTTGGAGAAAGCTGCAAGAAGTCCACGTGTGAGCTGAAACTTGGTACGCTTCGACGGAGATGAAAGAATGAAGATTGACACCACCTGGGAGTCGTGACAAAAGTTCGAAGACGACGGAGTTACAGGCCAGCACAGAACGAACTCTTTGATTGGATTTGATAAGTATTGTTAATTTTGACTGTTTGTTCTTTTTGCCGTTGTTAAACGGAAGTCTATATTGGTTGTATGTTACTGCTAGTATTTTTTGTTTGAGGTGTGGTGTGGCACACAAAGTTATGTGACATTTAAATAGGCCATTGAAAATATACTACCGTTCTATCTTGCACACTGCTTGCGTTCGAGCGTTTCATTTGTTATACGAGTCGAGTACCAGCGTCTGAACATAACAGTTTGTTTAAAACATCCTAGGTGTGCATAAGCTCACACCTTGTTATTACATCGGCTGCCAGTGCCATTTTTGTCCAATTTATCTGTGGAGGTTTCCTGCAGGTGATGTGTTAACAAAGATCTCGTCTGCTCAAATGTTGCATAATGCAGTAGCTAACTCAATTCTATATGCAGAGAAACCACAGTTATTGGGGAACCAGAATTGTGATTTCATATTATAGAGTATGACATGGTAGGAGTGTGTACAAATCTTTTGCTATCTCTTGCAGTTGTTGGGTTTGGGTGGCTTGTTAGCTTGTGTATATATCTGGTAGGGTCGTTTATGTGTGGGCTAGTTTCGAATACAAACACAATGTTCAGCGCCATCAATGAGTTTTGATTGATAAACCTCATTGACAGTGTTAAACATCACTTACATAAAACGTAAATTGCAATTGACCTCACAGTGATGCATTGGTTGTGGAATACGGAAAAAGGGATCGAAGCATGCACTCTGCATACACAATATGCTAATGACCTTTAACAAGGTTATGACGTAGACATGAATATTATTTTAAAGTGCAATTATTAATAGGAAGCATTTATTATAAAACACCAAAATCATGTATATTCAGTCCTGACCCCCACTCTGTCTATTGTGGTAATTTGAAGACTGTACACACTTTCTATCAAACTAAAACTGGTCACCAAACTGTTTCTGGCCTGAATGAGCGTAGGCAAGCCTCAATAGGCTTTAATTGTATACAGCACCACCAGTGGCTGTTCCTTCAAGTAATTGCATTTCATATTCCCAGGTAGTTTAGAAAATATATGAAGTCATATATATGGTCAAGACATGTCAGAGCCTGAAATATGGCTCAAGAAATGCCTGTACGACTGGCATGGGTAACTATTCATTCAGGCTGGTGAAAATCTAGTTACTAGCCATTTGGGTAGATTTTTTGTGAAAATAAAAAAGTATTACTTTTTACAAAAATCACAAAATGTCTATAGATGTATGATTGTCAAAATTATGTACCTAGAGGTCTGATGCAATTGTTTTGACATATGCAACATGTAAAACAGATATAAACGACAAAGATGCATGATTTAGTTAACTCTCGCACTATGCGTGATTTAAGCATTCACAATATGTGACCCAACCCTTTCAGAACTATAAGTGTTTTTGCACTGTATGTCAAAAATGTTGAGTTGGTTTTTTAGAGACCTAGCTTCCAGCAAAGAAACAGAAAATAAAATTTGACTCCACAGAGGCAAATATGGTGTATGATACTACCAAACAAATACAAAAAATTGTCCCACCATGGATAACTGAATTTTTGTAGATGAGCAGATAGTGTATTATAAAGTATACAGTAGTATATATGGACCACTCAAGGTACACTCCATGACTTGGCAAACTGTCAACAATCTCTTCCACATACAGTATCCCAGTATCCTGCAGGTAGTGGATTTGATTTGATTGTGTGAGGGAATTTTCACAAATGAGAATAACCAAGAGCTCTACCTTGACCATGCTTATAACAATTCATATGCATTTCCTATCATTTGAGCCAAATCAATGGAATAAACACCATCATTAGAAAGCCTCAATTTATGGAAGGCGAGAAGAAGAAAACTTTGAACATTACACAACATCTAGATAAGACCGTTAAGGAGTGGACAGCAGCAACTTGAGGGGCACAGAGAGTAGTGGAGGTCTCATACAGCATATGACACAAATCCTGTCACAAAAACACATAAAATTCTCCTTACCGCAATCATGTCATCTGATGCATCATCACTATTTTTTTTGGGTGCTTTGGTTTTCTTTTCTTCTTTTTTCTGTTTTTTGGGTTTAGGCTGGTGATACATGTACAAAAAGATTAGCTATTGGTTGTTTGATACGTATGACTTTACAGACTGTAACCGTAAAATATTCTCAAGCATTGACTGGACATACTTGTATAGTATGACTAAAGCAGAACTATCATCAGAACTGTGCATATAAATGTTATATTATTTACATTATTGTTTTCCTGTTCTCTGTTTGGTCTTCATGCACCTACAACATGATATATGTAGTTCATTCAATAAACATTGCTGAGACTTGTATCTTAGATTTTATCATAACATAAAAAAACATAATGGCACACCTCCTGAGAAAAAGTACATCAGACAAATCCCAACCAACAATGAGCAAAATTGCATAAAACTATAGTGGATAGAAAATTATGTCGAGATGCATGTGACATTAGGACACAAAACATGTCAATTGCCCCACATGGGCCAAATTTGATGATGAACAGAGAAAAGTTATGTGTTGTCTGACTTTAACCTTCTAACTCCTATGGAATAGCAACCGTATTATTAGTGAAATATCATATAACCTTATAGTATTTAAATTGTCATGTTATGTGTGAAAAAATTAATGTTTAAATAAACTTCAAAAATGTTTTGTTTTTTTTCAAAAGTCATTGAGCGTTTGTTCATGGTATTTATGCTTCTATCTTGTCTGGTGATGAGTAGATGGTTTTGTATCTTTGTATTGTTGTTGACGAAACAGACATAGAAATTATAGTCTAAACTTGATCTGGAAGTGGAAGTGGTTTATTTCTGAGCAAGGAAGCCATTCTGAATTTTGTTCAAAACACACTGATATTGACTGTTTGCTTGGTGATTTTTATATAATAGGTAAATGAATTAAAGACACATTACATTTTGCTGATGTATTGATGTTTCCTATCTAGTTCACAATCAAATCCCTCAGACTGTGTTGTAAAATTTCACCTGTGGTTTCAGAACACCACCAACAGGAGTAAACAATTGAGATTTGGAGAATGGAACGGAGGAAACGCCAAGTACATGTTTTACAATGTTGAAACTAAATAATTCTCAGAATTGTAATAATTAGCTAAGACAGATGAGGTATTATATGTGCTTCTTCCAAAAATGTATGTTTTCTGTATACATTCATTAGAAGCATCCTTATTGTAACAGTAATAAGTTATTTTCACAACAATTATTTGAATGGTTAGGGGTAGACCATTCAAAACTTCGGAAGAGACAATAACAGAAAAATAGTGGAATTTTTTTTTTGTTAAATATGCTGTATTACAGTTTGTTCTTTCATTGATCCCTGCAGGATTTTTTTTCCATGACATTTCCCTGTGCAATATTTTTGTTCGCCCCCTCCCCCAAAGTTTAATGGTCAACCCCTTAATCCTCCATTGTTTAGTCGTTGGTTCATGGTTTAGTTCAGTTTCAAAATTGCCCACATTTTAGATCTTTTTACTAGTCGTACCTTATATTCTGTATCCGAGTCTGATCCTTCAGAACTAGATACTATCGCTTTGGATTTCACTCGTGATGCCATTTTGCTGCTAACTGCACGAGTTCACATAAATAGCGTGCGAATGTGATTGGCCAGTATTGGAGTATGCAAACAACACACAATTTACCGCTTTATTAGGGAGAGCGCCGCCAGAGTTAGGTACCAGACAAGCTTTAAGTTAGCGTTAGATTCGCAGCGTCGAATAAAGCAAAATTGTATACTAGTACCATTATCGAAATATGAAACGTTCAAACAAATTTGTTTTATGGAAATCTCCAGAAAAAATTATCTTGGAATTTATTTTGTGAACTTCTTATTTTGGAAATATTCAATTTTATAGTACATATGATCGTGGAGCTCCATGATCTGTTAATATAATTAATTAAAAAACATTCACAATGTCGTTATTATGTCTTTAAAAAACATTTCTTTGAAATGATTATTGTAACAGCAAACATAAAAGTTTTGTTCGATAATTGCTAGACAGTTAGGCTTAGTAGAGACTTGGTGAAATTCCAATGTTTTTAGCCAGAACGCAAAACTTCTGCAAAATCTCCCAAAGTTATTCATGCTGCTATGTCATTTATCGTTTTGATGATTTTTCTTTATATTCTTAATAATTTAGCTAAGTATATATTTAGAATTGTTAGTTGGTTTGTTAATATTAATTTTATTCAACCTTGTATTGCGGAACTTTATTTATCGTTGAACTGAATGCGACGCCGTAAATGTAACGCTATCTCCACTAAGATCAGCAAGAAAAAAAAATCTACCATCGAGTTGGCGTTTAACGTCAGGCATTTCCTTTTTAGGGTTGCGTGTTTGAATGGTGGTTTACGTATAAAAATGACCCGTAAGTATACTGTTCTTCACATGTATGGTATTATTTGACTATCTAGATTTTCAAATAACTGTAATTTGTAAAGTGCTAAAGTAGGATTTGGTTGAAAGCGTCCACAATATTTATTGTATCACTAACGCAATGGTTTGTTTATTGTTTAAATGCTATGGTGGAGCAGGGAGCCCTGGGTGGAGGGTGTGGAATTTCCGCTACACCATACACGTAAAATTGTCTTTCTATACTTAAATTACAACTCTAAAGTAGCGTTAGTGGTAAAATCGTCTACGTAAATTACTTTAAACCTTTGGTACAGTAGTCAGTATGGCCTATGGGGTTAAAAAAGAAGCCGCGTCGGACTCGGCGTCATGTTAAAATTGCCGTTTCGTCCCGACAATGAACGTGCGCACGTATACGGTCCGACAATTCATACCCATGGATGACACTACAAATAAAAGTTGTACGTAATAGGATTATGTCCCTTCAAACTGAATTCTTAACAAGTTTTAAAAAATTATGATTGATTAAATGTGGGACAAATTGATAATGGCCACTTCCGGTATTTCCACTGTCGTGTGTATTACGTCCGTCTGACAAGAAAAAAAATCACAGTTCAAGAATGAAACTGTATCTGTTTACCTTCATACTGAATGAAAATTCCTGTTCTTTAAAAATGTTTAATACAGTTCATCCAAAACTTTGAGAATTTACTACAAGTCGTAAATAAGGGTAAACAAACTGTATTTGTTGTTCAGGTTTTCTCTTATTTTTCAATATTTTGTGAGAATCGGTAAACAGAAAACAAATCCTGAGCAGCACCTTTTTTCAACTGACACAAATATTTTTTGGACTAACACTAATATCAAAATGGGGATAAAAGAATCCTAGTTTTGATCTTTAAAAATTGTATATTTATTTTTAAGTCGAAGGCTGCTCATAAATGAAAACACCTAGAATTTATTTGAATTGCAATAAATTGTATTCCAAGGCAATATGAGGATATTGACTGAAAAACATTGGGGGTCACCAGCATAATTTTTGGGAAAATAATGCGTGTATTTTATTGAATAGTGTCAATTTTGTCAGTATTATAGTGCTTTTACCATATGTTACTATGGCAGAGATACTATGCCATAATTCAAATTAATTGAGGGCTGGTTTTTAATTGAACCCTTTCTCAATTTAGACAAAAACAGGAAGAAATTCTGTACAGTGTGTTTTTTCTTGATATATTTCTGTTGCATTATTTCTTAGTTTACTATTGTAGTCATTAAGTCAATTAATGAACAATGTCACACAGTGTAATTTATAATTAAGTACACTTAATGTGTTTTTCCTGCCAACATGTGCAGGTAAGTAGGCAACAGTCGGATCACCAATTTGATCACTTGTACAAGTTTCTCAAAATTCACATTGAAAATAAAAATATGTGTCTCTTGGCAAATCAAAATCCGACCATTTTTAGACAGTATCCACATGCTGGAACACAGCAAGAGGCGAGGAACAGTAATTTAAGGATTGAATTAAATTTAACAATTGTTCAGAGTGTGCTAAAACTAAGTTGTGGTATATTTAATTTCAAACCTACAATGTACTAGTATTACTGTGTGTAGTTTTAATGAAATATGCAAGCATGACAAAGATTTTGACACTTTTCATATGAGTCACTATGCTTTTAAGAAATGCATTGGGTCTGAAAACAGGGACTTTATGACCTTTGTGTGTAGTTTGTGCATGTGTATATCTTGCCTGGACCGATTACATTCAAACTTCACACATACATGTACATCATACATAAAATTATTCATGTATACATCAATTTGTTTCACGATCTCATTCAAGATGACCAAATGGCAGCCATTTTTCTAATGAAAAATCATTGAAATTTCCGATACTTGAAAATCTACAACTGAACATTGATAAAGTGTGTGTCTGTCGCTGCCAGAATATGTGCCAAATACACCACACACACATACATGATTGATTGTAATGGCTACAAATTTTAAAATGATTTTAATACAAAGATGACATTTTTACTCAACTTTTACATTCTCACTGAAATATATTGTAAAATTTATTTTTTCAAGCAACTGGGTACCAAATAAAAGTACATCTGTTAATAATTTGTTTTTACTACTCAGGTGGAAATCAAAGAGACAAAGCTAGAGAAAAAGCCCTGAAAAAACAAAAGCAGCAAAAAAAATCTTCTGCAGAAAAGGATGTGAATAAAGGCTCAAATCTGCAGACTAGAAAGGAAAGGTGGGTGCTATATTTACACTACTGTTGGCTGGAATCATAGTGCTGGATGTGTATAATTAAGAGAAAATTATAAAATCAGCTTTACAAAATATTGTGAGAATTTAAAAGCAAAAACTAAAAAAATTTCAACAGCGCAATAAAGGAACTCATTTTGATTTCAACTTTGGGCAGCTTACTTTGTTTTTGAAGTAGGTTTCCATGACAACTGTCAGGATTAAATAGTTTTTACATGTATGACTCACAAATGCATGAATAACCTGCATCACCAAAATGACTTTGATCTAATCATAAATCATGCACATGTATCCCTACATGCCAGACGGCCATCTTCAATCAAATCATAAAATGAACATGCATCAATTTATGACATGTGCGTTAAAAATATATACAGTACATAAATTAAAGAGATACTGTACCAGCAGTATGGCCGAAAAAGAAAATGGCTGTCATTTGACTGTTATTGATCTAATTGTATCCTATAATTGGAAGGAAAACATGTCAACAAAACATTACAAAATAAAAATGGCTGCCATGGTTAGCCATTTTGGATCAGATCATGAAACAAATTATCATGAATCTCAACATTGATATTATCTCAAGATGTTGAATGTATGTATCAAATTTGATCAAAAACTGGCAAAGCATAAATTTAAAAAAAAACAAGGCAGCTGCTAGTCAGCTATTTTTGAACTGATTATAAAACAAAGTAACAAGAACATGTATTTCAACATGCATGATGTATGTGCCAAATATGAATGAAAAAAGTCTTGGGAATATAGTAGTATGACCAAAAAGCTAGTTAATTACCAGTCAGCCTTCTTTGATCTGATTGGATGCACAGATACAAACTAAAGATGCAATTTCTTTTACATTCATTTATTACTCGAGATTCTTTATTACTCGAGATTCTCAATGGGTAAGGTTATAATAGTTATGCTATGTTTTATCACAGGGATGCTGATAGAATGAGAGAAAAACAGCAGGCTGCAGCTGCCAAGAAAGAGTTAGAATCAAAAGGTGCCTGTGGTGGCAAGTAGTCAACAGGATATACATTACATTGTATGTGGAACATCGAGTAGTCATCGTACACTACATGACTTCTTACTCAAAACTATATTCCAAGTATAATTGCAATAACAAATTCTGGTACATGATTTAATTCAGCATCTGGTGATATTATATCAACTGAAGTTCTCCCCAGGTCTATTCAAGCATGATGTCATTGGTATGCTAGGTTTATTGTGATAATTGTGACACAAATTACCATTCATTTGCAAATGAATCACCATGCTGTAACATCAAGATGGGGAAAACACTGGTGGATTTTAAATGGATTTATTGCACATCAATGCTTGCCAAGCCCTTGTTGACATTGTAATCAACAAATTTTTTTTTTAATCTAGAGTATAGTCTGATCGTAACTTAACATTTAGCTAGATTTAAGTTGGCTTAGCTTGCATTAAATCTAAATTTTACAGAATAAACTGCCTAAATATGTCTCATACATGTATCAACACGACAAAGAATAAGTTAAACTTATTTATGACAATGATACTCACTAAAAGGTTCAATAGAAAGGCAAAGCTAGCTCGGAGCTAGCTTAGTAGTTAAGTTACGTCTGGTCTGTACAGTACTTGTATTTGTATGTTTGCCATATATTTGGAATATGTAGTTATCACAAAATTATATACTATCAATGTATATCAATTTTAAAGTTTATTATTTCAACTGTGCTGTCATCGATAATGACCAAATGTAGCTAGTCATTTAGTGTTGTCAACTTTTTCTTTGTTATTTTTGTAACCATGTATTTGTAACTTGAACTGCTGATTTTACGCAATATTGTTATGAGATTCAGGCGTTGTTACTAGTGCATCTTATTTTGTTTCATGTGTAATTTATAACATCAAAAATACTGAGTGGAGCTACTTTAATTAACAATGACCCGCTGGTGAATGAATGCTTTTTTTAAGTGTTTTAATATTGAGCAAGAAGGTTTCTCAGCTCGAGTTTTAACTGACATGTTTACTTGTCTGGTGTTCATGAAAAATGTTTTCAATTTGTTTTTGAAAACTATTCATCTGATTGCACTAGGGAAACATGCAAGGGTTGTTGTGCTTTAATAACTTGTAAATGCACTTGTTTACTTTGTGCAACTTGAAATGATTTCAAAAATTTGCAAGAAAGACCATAAATGTAGTGGTACCGGTAGTTTTGGTCAATCACTAAAAAGTATCTTCCCAAAATTGATTCTGCGAGTGTATACAATTATTAGATTACAAAACTAGTCTTTTTCTTTTGGAAAACAGGATCTCATCTGATTGTAATTTCCTCTTCACCATTTCTAAGAAACATTGTGAGAGATACTGTATAGTAGAGTCCCACCACAAACAGGCAGGCTTGTATTTTTAACTTTTAAAATCATCTTCATCAAAGTATGCTGGGTACAGCAGGATTATTTGTTGGTGAATGTGGGAGATTACCATGTCGGTTGCATGTACATCAGTTACAGTGCTTTCCTACAGTTATGACTATTCATGCGATACAATGGGGAACAATGAGATCACTTAAGCTGGGCAAATGCCTATTTAGCTTTTAACTTGTAGCAAGATCTGTTTTGGCTTAGTTACTAATCAAGACATCTGTTCTTTTCTGTATTTCTATGAAATAAATATTTAAACATGAAGTGCTTAGTGTCGTGTGTTTACCTAGTATTTGTTGATAATACAGCCGTGTTGCCTCTAAATCTTCCAACTACACTACTGGCTTGGTGTACAAAACAAATTTAGTCGCAGTAAAATGCTAACAATATCCAAGTTATTAAAAAACTTGATTTAATGTTTCCTTCTTGGCTACAGGTACGAGTTTTAAGTTAGCTCATGAATATTCATAAGCTGATTATGGAGCCCTCTAGTACAAAGGGTCCACCTGCTGCAATTTCAGTATGCAAATCTTATGAGAAATTTCAAAACTTCAATGCTTATCCACATGCCTTCTGCATTTATTCAGGGCATAATACATGTTCCAGCACAGTCTATTTAAAAATAAAAGCATAGTGTCCCACAGATTTATGATGGCCTCAATGTCTTAAAAACTATATTTATAGATTAAGGCAGCACCTCTGATTCTTCTTAATGTAAATTCATTTGAGGAGAGCTTTATCTTGTACACATTACCTGGTTGCACTGTATATGCATGCAGTGCATACTTATTGTCGCATGAAATAATCCATAATAATTTTTAGCACATTTTGTATATTCCAACAGTACATGTAATGTAAAATGTTTTAGAAGCAACACCCATTTCTTTCGAACAATTGAGATGAAAAAAAAATACTTCCTCACATCTGTAGACGCTGTAATAGAACATATCCCCGGTACACTCTGTTGCATTGAAGCATTTTAATACAGATTTTAAAGCAGTAATTACCACTGTATTGTCCAGATGTGAAATAAGAACAGGACTCCCGGTAAATCGATCAGTTGTAATTTTCACCTCCATATAAAAAGGTACTTTTTTTTCAGATAGCATACATAAATATCACATTTTTCCTCTATCCAATGGGAACAAACTGAATGTACTTTAAAAGTTTAATTATCACTATAAATCTAGTTTGATGACTCATACTCTTAGATAAAAACACAAAATATAGCACCCAGTATTTCATTAGGACACAGGAAAATTAATCAAAATTTGAGCCCAAACTTTTATATATCACTTTAATTTCACTTGGAAATTACAATTTGTTAGCAATGAAAATTACTCCTGTCCTATAAAAGTGATTTTCAAGAAATTATGTGTTCACTAATGCAATATAATTGTGACAAACTCTTGGTAAACAAATACAATTCAGGTATTTCATGTTTTCTGGGTAAGCATCATATTGTTAAGTACAGAAACATTATGCAGACAACTGACATGCGAAGATCTGTAGCCTGAGTTAAGTTTCAAATGACCTTATACATAGCAGGCCTAAAGAAGCAAGTAAAAAAAACTGACTTGTTTTTTATTTCTTTATTTCATGACAATAATAAAATACCTTGATTTAGGGGAAGTAAAATGATAGATCACATGATTCTGGGTATTCTGAATTATTCAAAATACATATAACCAATATTTATTGTTATCTTGCTGCTGGACTAGTGAATGAATGTTCACCTTGTTGGTGTTCTTGTCTAGAAGTTGTTGGCACTGGAGATTCATTCCGTTGAGGAGTATTTTGTAGTGATTCCCCTCTAGATGCTTTGAGACCCTGTGTATCAAATAAGAAGAGATTAAGGGAAAACAAATTATACACATCAAAACAATAAGAATTAATTGCACATTTAGCTGAAAGGGCCACTCTTGCAAACACATTGAAAATAGCCTGCATTGAGAAAGATGAGCTATCTTTGCACACAAGTTGAAGACAGTTCCCACTGATAGGGTCCATCACTGGTGGGCCACCCTTGCACACAAGGTGATGACATAGCTCCCACTGATAGGGTTCATCACTGGTGGGCCACCCTTGCACACAAGGTGATGACATAGCTCCCACTGATAGGGTGCATCACTGATGGACCACCCTTGCACACAAGGTGATGACATAGCTCCCACTGATAGGGTCCATCACTGATGCGCCACCTTTGCACACAAGGTGATGACATAGCTCGTACTGATAGGGTCCATCACTGATGCGCCACCTTTGCACACAAGGTGATGACATAGCTCGTACTGATAGGGTCCATCACTGGTGGGCCACCCTTGCACACAAGGTGATGACATAGCTCTCACTGACAGGGTGCATCACTGATGGACCACCCTTGCACACAAGGTGATGACATAGTTCCCACTGATAGGGTCCATCACTGATGGACCACCCTTGCACACAAGGTGATGACATAGCTCGTACTGATAGGGTCCATCACTGATGCGCCACCTTTGCACACAAGGTGATGACATAGTTCCCACTGATAGGGTCCATCACTGATGGGCCACCCTTGCACACAAGGTGATGACATAGTTCCCACTGATAGGGTCCATCGCTGATGGACCACTCTTGCAGACAAGGTGATGACATAGTTCCCACTGATAGGGTCCATCACTGATGGGCCACCCTTGCACACAAGGTGAAGACATAGCTGATGAGGTCCCTGGGTTACCTTTGTGATGTCACTGAGCAACCCAATTAGTGATAAAAACATAACAACTTGGTGAGGTCCCTGGGTAACTTGGTGAGGACACATAGCAGCTTGGTGAGGTCCCTGGGTAACTTGATGAGGACACATAGCAACTTGGTGAGGTCCCTGGGTAACTTGGTGAGAACACAGAGCAACTTGGTGAGGTAACTGAGCAGCCCAATTGATGAGGTCCCTGGGTTACCTTTGTGATGTCACTGAGCAACCCAATTAGTGAGGACACAGAGCAACTTGGTGAGGTCTTTGGGTAACTTGGTGAGGTATCTGAGCAACCCACTTGGTGAGGTCCTTGGGTAACTTGGTGAGGTATCTGAGCAATCCACTTGGTGAGGTCACTGAGCAACTTATTGAGGTCACTGAACAGCCAAATTTTGTAATGAGGTCTCTGATTAACTTGGTAGGGCCACTGCATAAGGTCCCTGAGAAAACCCAATTGGCAAAGGTTGCAGCAATTTTAAGTTACCTGATAGTAGCCTGTATGATATCCACTCATGTACCATGATATTAACATAGAGAATAAAGCATCTTCATCACCAGCTGTGGCATCCTGTGTTATAGGTGGAGGTGGTGGGATAGGCGGGATCCTCTGAAAAGAAAAGATACAATTTATAACAATGAGTATGGGCTGCTTCATTACAGATTGTTTAAAAAGAAAACAAAGTTTACAACAAATGTCTGCACAATCTAATTCTTGTGGAAATACTATTCATTATATGGGAAATATCATCATGTACGATTCGATGGACAATAACAATACATACCGGGGGTGTACTACCAGGATGCATAGCTGCTCCAAACCAGGGATGCATTGTTTGATATCCAGTAGGAAAAAAGTTGTAATATGGCTGAGACAATAAAAAAGTATGTTTCTGGTCAATAAGCAAGACAAAACACAGGGACACCTCCTTAATAATGTAACTTTTGTTAAAATGATTTTTTTTACTGAATTTGACATCAAATAACTACTTACATTATTAACAGGATTCATTGGGTTGAAATGTGGGGGTATCCTTGGAGGAGGGGGAGGTGGATGTGAAAATCTTGAATTTCCAGGATAATTGTGCCATGTTGATGTAGGGTGTGCTGGACTCTGCCCAAACTCATTGCAATCCATGGACTGATGACTATCATAACCATTCTATCAAAAATAGTGAGTGTGAAAGTCTTAGTATTGAAGTTGACAAAATATTACATAATACAGAATTGCACTCCCAAGGAATATACAAAATGTGCCCTGGTAACCATGAATGGCATCTGAACACAATGTGCCTTGGAAACCATAGATGGCATATGTACACAATGTGCCTTGGTAACTATAGATGGCATCTGAACACAATGTGCCTTGGTAACCATGGATGGCATCAGAACACAATGTGCCTTGGCAACCATGGATGGCATCTGAACACAATGTGCCTTGGTAACCATGGATGGCATCTGAACACAATGTGCCTTGGCAACCATGGATGGCATCTGTACACAATGTGCCTTGGAAAACATGGATGGCATCTGAACACAATGTGCCTTGGTAACCATGGATGGCATCTGAACACAATGTGCCTTGGTAACCATGGATGGCATCTGAACACAATGTGCCTTGGTAACCATGGATGGCATCTGTACACAATGTGCCTTGGTAACCATAAATGGCATATGTACAAAATGTGCCTTGGTAACCATGGATGGCATCTGAACACAATGTGCCTTGGTAACCATGGATGGCATCTGAACACATTGTGCCTTGGTAACCATGGATGGCATCTGAACACAATGTGCCTTGGTAACCATGGATGGCATCAGAACACAATGTGCCTTGGTAACAAGAGTGGCATGAAACATCAGATAGATATTTATAGAAAACTGAAAACATACTTCTTGTAGGTTGTCATGTCTTGAGTCCACTTCATACTCAGGATGCAGTAGATCATTGATATCAATCTCTTCTTCATTACCATAACCTGTATAAAGTATCCAACATCTATTGTTGTCTCTATCTATTGATTTAATAACAGCGTCATATATAATTCCATCTTCTGAATAGACAGCTCTACACCGATCACCTACATGCCACTGCAAATGAGTAAAGTACAACAGGTTTCATGAAGATTAATTCTTGGTAATTTTTTCACTTTTGCAGGGCTTTTATAGAAATAGTTCAAACAAATATGCATTTCAGATTTATTCCACACACTGTACTAACTGTAAGGTTGAAATAGACTGGGAGTACATAGCCTGATATTCATACAGTCAAAATTTAAGGTGACACAGTGATTGCTTTTGCATTTTATCTTAAAGTGCCTGTGCAATGCCCACCTTCACATTTCCCATTTTAGATCTGTGTCCCACTGAAATGGGCAGTTATTGATTTTTTTGCTGAAAATGATTACTCGTATCCAAGTAAATTTGAGATG